AGAATATAGCTATGAATTCCATGATTTCCTTATTAGGGTCATATAACTGGAATACAAGAAACTTAAGTGATAAAACCTCACGTAATATGATAGACACTAGACAGAGATCGGAGGAGCAATGAAGAGAAGCAAAAGTGTGTCAAGAGCCTCAATGGGGACAAGGCTAGAGCATGTCATTATTTGACTATAGACAGGGTCAGAGCTAGCCTATAGCTAGCTGGAACTGAAACGGGAGTCATGGGCTCATAACATGTCATTTGAGCATATGCACTACAATAAAAACCATGTTGTGCAGATTAGTTCACTAGTTTAGTGTAGATGTACATGTAGGTGGGACAGTTATAACATGCATTCAGGTTATAACCTATACCTTTTTAATGATATGATTATAATCAAAATCAGTATCCAGTATAACTTCTTCTGTAGGGTCAACTGAATGTTGCGATGGACGCCATCTTCTAACATATACCTGTACCTGCCAATGATACTTCATCTTCTCTGGCTCTAAAAATACATAGAAGTTAATAAACACTTAATTGTAAACACTTAATACAATTAAATACATTGGTGTACAAAAATATACATGTACTAACCTTTTAATGGTTCTACATACATCTCCCTATTAGTATAAATCAATTCATCATCAGGATATACTCTACCAGGGGATACTCCATTCTTGTCACGTAATCTCATTCTACACAATAAGTCACATGATAGTCACATGATAACCACATGATGTACTTACTTGTCTAATTCAAGGACACAGTTGATTCCTTGTACTTTTGCTTCTTCAATAATTTGTTTCTTAAATTCTCTAACTGGTGTATTCTTAGCAACAATAGACTCCATCATATACTTGCAAAACTAAAACGAAATACAAAATTATAATTGATTAATAATTGTTCTTATACTTCTGTATTGTTAACTTGTAATAAATATAATTTAATTCTGCACTCTCCTCTTCTTAATGCTCTACCCAGTCTTACTATTAACTAGGAGATAAACAAAGTAACAAAGAGATGTACTAGAAGTAAATCAAATAACACATGAAACTTACCTCTGAATGCTCTGATCCAAATTGAATATGCATGCCCATGTACACTAATGTCTCATCCAGTCCATCCAGTTCACATTCTCCATATCTGATTTCATACACTCTAAAATCAGTAGATGGTACACCAATTAGTGGAACTAGCTTTTCCTTCATTGAGCTAATGTTATTCTCTTATCAACTTGTACCTGTATCTCTGTATTGAATAATAAATGCTTACATTAATATTATTACAATTTTAATTCATACTTCTTTCTTTTCCTTTCTTTTCTTCATTTATTGATATAATTTTCATTATTATTCCTCCTTTAGGTACATTAGTTGTAGTCGCAGTGGCTTCAGGAGCAGGAGGTATTGTAATCTTCAGTAGTATTGAGTTGATACGATAAAGTTTATAAATGTATTTGTACATCAAGCTATCGTTAAATTCTTTTTGATAATCTTCAGGATCTGATAATACATACACTAACTAAAAAAAAACAGTGTGTGTGTGGGCGAAGTGAAGTGAAAAAATAATATTAATAGTAAAAAATTATTAAAGTATAATAAGTTATACTGAACAAGTAAATAAAAACATTAAAAAAGGAAAGTAGTAGAATTAAATTGCAAAAAAGTAAGGAAACAAAAGGGTAAATGCAAACTGGTGTGGTAAGAAATCCTACATCACTGCATGAAAAATACCGTC